ACACGTCCGACCATCACGCGCCCTTCTTATGTGCGGTTTTGCGAACATCTTGAATGGCGGAATATAACTCTGCCTATACTGCTAGAAGAAAATATGCTAGAATTTGAACCATGGACGATGCCCATCATTAGAGTAAGGAAAGACCTGGCAAGGCTTAAAAAGGAAACTACTGACAATGATACTTACCTACGGGAGTTCCAAAGCATTTGTAACCAGTATCCTGCACATGAGATCATATACACGGATGGGGGAAAAACTGAACGTGGTGCTGGGAGCGCAATCGTCATCGATGGTATACCACATGAATGGAAACTATGTCGGTTCTCTTCCATACTTTTTGCTGAGCAATATGCGCTGTGGCAGGCGATTATGTATTGTTCCATGGTTGTTGAAGGGAAATTTTTAATTGTCACCGATTGCCTGAGCGTTATCAATAATCTGTCGCAAATATTTTCTGATGACGTTATGACTAGAAGGTGTCAATCTGCCTTGAACCCCATACTCGAACGCATTGAAATAGTTTTCATGTGGGTACCAGGTCACGTCGGAATTCCTGGAAATTAACAGGCGGATCGTGCTGCTCGAACGGCGATATGTAAAGATCGTGTGGACGTCAACTTTGTTATGGCTACAGATGCGAAAAAGTATCTGAAAGAAAAGAGCGTACTGGAATGGCAACAGAGATGGGAAAGGTGTAATACTCACCTAATGCAAATAAAGCCGAACGTTGGTAAACTGTACACGGTGCGCGACGGGGACAGAGAAATAAATGTGAAGATGCACCGACTACGAATTGGACATACTGGTATCACGCATAAGCATATATATAAACGTGAGCATCCACGACAGTGCGACCGGTGTAGAACAACCCTCACGATTGCTCACTTAATTGGAAACTGTCCATTATACGTTTTGGAACGCGCGACACATAAGATAAGGGCAAATTATTCTGAAAACTTTAATCTAGACAACTGCAGAGGCACGTTAGCTTTTATGAAGCAAATAAATATGTATAAAGATATATAGGGCGGAGAGTGTGAGAGATGGTTTGTGCTGAAAGGGGATATGACCATAGCAGTCGAACCCTAATTAAAAATAAAAAAAAAAAACAATATGAAAACAAAATGCAAGAAAAGCCTCTCTTCGAACGAATAGCAGGCGGAAACAAACGAACAGAGAACCGAAAACCCGAGTTATCTGTCTCGGTAATTAATTAATTGCAAAGTGAATTAAGTTTAAAAATCTATATCCTTGTAGAGGAGATCAAATTATGAATTGCAATTAAGCAATAGTCTAACTTTCTAGTGCAAGTAATCGCTATCATGTCCTTAAAGAGGAAATGTTTAAATTAATTTTATTTACTTAAAAAACTCTCTAAATTTTGCTGTCGTAGAAATACCATGTAAGTGTAATGCTCTAGAACAACTTTGGATCATCCTGAAATTACCTAAATGCAACTTAATTATTGGAGTTATCTACAGGAGGCAGGAATTTGCTTGCGATGAATTCTTTGACGCGCTTGAAGAAACCATTTCACATGTAATTGCGCTTGGTGATCACTTACTATATATGGGCGACTTTAACGTTGATCTTTTGAAGTTGTCGGATAACATGACCCAAAAATGTTATGCATTTTGGAAGTATTTGGTCAACCTCCAGCTCCGTGGCTGACTGATAACATTAAACTTTTGATTGAACTCAGAAAAAAAGCCTTTACAAAATTTAAAAAATCCAAATTACCTTCCCATTGGAATTATTATAAACAGTTACGTAATTTTACTACAACTGCCATTAGGTCTGAAAAAAAAGCATATATAGAGTCTCATCTTAATCAGAGTGTAAGTACGCGTACAAGTATTTGGAAAAGGTTAAAGCAAATAGGGCTATGCGAATCTTCACATAAACATGAAATACCACCTAATCTTTGTGATGTAAATAAAATCAATGAAGCATTTAATGAATTATCTAATACTACCCATGTGAATATTGACCACTTGATTGAATTCTACAATCTGAATACGCATAAATTGTTAGATGTTAAATTTAATTTTAATTTGATAACTGAAGCAGAGATGCTGAAGACTTTCTTATCTTTAAAATCAAATTCAATTGGCTGCGATCAAATCAGTCTGACAATGTGGAAATTATGCTTACCCTATTTGGCTTCGATCATAACGCACATCATTAACTGCTGTTTGAGTGAATCGACTTTTCCCAATGCTTGGAAGAACGCCATTGTGGTACCGCTACCTAAGATAAAGAATGCTCAAGATTTTAAGGACCTACGGCCAATTAGTATTCTTCCCTGCTTGTCAAAAGTTCTTGAAAAGATCATGGCTTCACAAATACAACACTTCTTAAACAGTGAGAAAATGTTACCTCCGATGCAGTCAGGTTTTCGTCCGGGGCATAGCTGTAATACGGCACTTGCATTTGTAACCGATACAATCTTATCTGCGATTGACAAAAATAACTTAACTATGCTGATATTATTAGATTATTCAAAAGCATTCGATAGAATTTCTCATAAATTGCTTACATCCATCCTTAATTACAATAGTTTCAGCACTTCGGCTGTGCACCTGATTGAAAGTTATATATCCAACCGCACTCAGTGTACTAGGCTTGATGGAAATGTGTCTACCTCTCTCTCTGTTATGGCGGGTGTACCACAGGGATCTGTCTTAGGACCATTGTTGTACATCATCTATACCAGCAAAATACAAGATTGTCTTAAACATTGTATGTATCACCTCTATGCGGATGACACGCAGTTATTCTATACATTTCCAGCTCATAAAATTGAGGATGCGAATAGCCTCATAAATTCTGATTTGCAAAGTTTAGTAAACACTTCTGAAATGCATGGTCTAAAACTTAATATTAACAAGTGCAGTGTCATGTTATTTGGTCGAAACAAAATCCGAAACAATAACATCTCGCAAGTTGCAATACAAATTAAAGACAGTTTGCTTCCTGTAGTGTACAGTGTCAGAAATCTAGGTGTTGTGGTAGATAATCAACTTCGTTTTAAAAGTCACGTGTCAGGACTCCTTCGAAAAGCCTATCTTAATCTAAAAATGATCTTTAATTTAAGGCATAGCCTCAATCGTAAGATTAAGGTAATGCTTTGCGAATCCTTAGTTCTATCACATTTTAATATATATACGGCCCATGCCTGGACGCAAGTGACGTCAAACGAGTGCAACGCATGCAAAACTCTTGTCTTAGGCTCATCTTTGGTCTAAAAAGATATGAGCATGTTAGTAATAAGTTAAGTGAGGTTAAATGGCTTAACATGTCAAATCGTAGAGTGTTACACGCAGCATGCCTCTTATACAACATCATTTCCACGAAAACACCAGATTACCTATACAGCAAAATTAAATTTAGGCATAATGTCAATATTAGAAACAAAAACTTCACTTCTTTACCAAGTCATAATACCAGTATTTTTCAAAGATGTTTCACTTACAATGCTTCAAAAATTTATAATTCCTATTACAACGTTTTCACTGATTCAAAGTTTTCTTCTCTAAAATCTTTTAAAAAAGCAATGTATACCTTACTTATGGATAGACAGCGGAGTACTTGAAACTGTTGAGTCACTTAAAGTTTGGCACAAACCCAAATTATGCAATTCTGCCATTTGTGGTCGAGTATTAAAAGCTCGATAGAATGGGGTTAAGTGGTAGAACAGACAGTGTGGTACCCTCTTGGGTGCCCACCAGTCTGAACTTTCGCCCCTTTGAGCTAACATGCTTTTTTTTTATTTTTTTTTTTATTCATTAGAATATGTAATATCATGTTTAGCTCAATAAATGCCTATTATTATTATTATTATTATAATTACTACTTATTTTAATTCTAGTACGTTTTCCTTAGGTCCTGTATTTACGAGATTACAGGTTGAATAACGGTCGACCTTGCTTTGGTGTAACACTTCACAATGACATGGCCGTGGAAAGATTATATCGGGAAACACTCGAAATTAATAACGTGACTTCATATTTTTTAATAACAGACCAATTGTTTTCCTCTTTCAAAATAACTAGATCTATAATTAATAACAATTAATTAATATCACATACCGCCCTTCGAAATTTACACAAGGGCGATGCGGGACCACTTCAAGGTCGCTCGCCACCTGGTGACCTTGGAAAATAGGTCCAGGTGACGTGGCTAGCGACCTAGGGAATTAGGTCAAGGTGAGAGTTGAGTGACAAGTATCAAGGTTACAGTCGCGTGCCACATGGGTGGTGACCTAATTTTCAATGTCATCCGAGATCATTGGCTCCATTAATTTTCAAGGCCATCCGAGGACATTGACCTTGATCTATTTCCCAAGGTCGCTCGCCGCGTCAACTTGACCTACTTTCCAAGGTCGCCACCAGGTGGCGAGCGACCTTGAAGTGGTCCAGGATCGCTCCTGAAATGCGACCTCGGGGAACATTTGGAGGAGTTGGAAAATCTCAGAGGAGGGTGGCGGTTTCCGGTTACTTAACGCTTAGCGGGCGAAAAAGAAGGGAAATCGTCTCTAGAAATGCGTCTGTTCAATAAGGTGCAGATTCCGGTTCTGTGTAGAAAGTTAGTGCAGTAAAAGATAGGGATGTTTGGTAATTACACAAAGGAAATCGCTGGGTGCTGTTCCATGTGCCTCACGGTGGGTTATTTGGAATATGGATTGAAGCAGTTGTGTGTATTCTGGAAAAATCTACCGGGAGTAAAAACTAATCTCCGAAGTCGAATTTACCAGGAGGGAATCTTCCAAGGTAAAGTATTCCGGGAGCGCATATTCCAAGACGTACCTTTCTTTGGGGGGGCGAATATTCCGGGCGGAACTTACTAGGAGGTAATTCGTTTTGGGCCCATTTCACCAGAGACGAATATTCCGAATGCAAGTATTGTAAGTAGGTTTTCTGAACCATTTAAGGATTTTGAGTTTTCAGTTGAGCTATTCACTTCGATTTTCGTCTTCAAAAACCGTATTTCACAGCATCTGGATCAGTCGGCAACAAACTAGTCAAAATACTTAGCTCCACCGAGAGATGTCTCTCATGGGCCCACATACGTTAGCATTCACCATATCCAAGATTTTTGTTTCGCGGTTCGATTTCCAGGGGAATGAAGTCCGCGTCATTTTTTTCTAGGCAAACGTCACAATGTAGCTTTACATCGGAATTGGAGTTGCCTTTTCACACGACGGGCGTCCAATATACGTCAACTTTTGAACAAGGTAGTTTCTCGCAGGATCTTTTGACTGGTGAATTTCTTCCGACCGTGCGTTTCGTCATTTAGATTTAGATTTATTGTTTTCTTGCTTTATACAAACGTATTTGCAAACGTCAACATAGTATGCTTACACATCGTGCTTGTGATTTAAATATTTCTCACTGGTATAGAAGGCATGCCGTAATAGGTGTTGTCTTATTGCCACTCTATACTTTGCAACATCCATATTTTTTATACTTTCAGGGAGACTGTTATAGAATTTAGTTGCCCAATAGTGAGGGTTGTTTTGGGATTCGCTTGTCCTGTAGTACTTTGAACGTATCTCATCACATCCTCTAGTGTCGTAAGAGTGATAATCCCTATGTGTACTAAACAAGTGATAATTCTTTTTAATGTGCATTAAACATTCAAAAATAAACATACAAGGTACTGTCATAATTTTTGATGTTACAAAAGTTTGTTTACAGTCTGCTTTACAGTCTGTATTTGTAATGATACGCACTGCTCTTCTTTGTAGAGCAAAAATTTCGTATCCACGCTCCAGGAATTGGAATGAACCAGGGTCAAAATGGATAACGTTTTAATAAGAAGGATTCACGCAACAATAACGAATGTAACATTTACTTCCATACGATACAGAAGGGAAAGGAGAAGCGAAATACGCTATCACCTACGCT